ACTTGATGAAATTAATAAAATTACAAGCAATTGAAATCAAACTACTCAATTTAAATAACATGAATCAAATCCTAACTAGTCCTAATTAAACTCTAGTGTCATGTGTCCTATTAGAGCAAAATCCAACGTTGAGGACTAAGCATCATCACCAACATCCTCAGTACCATGTTGATGATCTCCTACAACAACCACAAGAAAATAACATAAAAGGAAAGGGAGTGAAAAATATCTCACTATGGCTTACAGTGCAAAAATGAAAACTAGCTAGCCAAACACAAAAAATACATATACTAAAATATGACATATACAATAGACATTATTAACACAATTATTCAATAAAAACATAATAAGTAATGATAGATACATTATAATGCATTATGTAATGGACATGGACTATGTATTATTATGCATGTGGTGCTAGTAAAAACATCACACTTGTGCATTATCGCTAGCAATACACTAGAGTAGTCTAGGAGTACATGTTGGGTCACACCCTTTGCACTCTCACTAGAAGGAAATACTATCAAGGTTTGATCAGGAAAGTTAAGTTGTGCAAGATACATCCTATGCTCATGAGGGCAGGACTAGGACTTCCAAATTGAGTTATCTCCAAGGTTGGTTCCTAAGCTTTTACACAAGGGACCTTCCCTAGCCGTGTATTTCATATCATACCCTTACAAAAACATTTTTATGCATATGATGCATGTCAAATAGACTTTATGATTCACGTGGTTCCATAATTTCACAATTCACACATTCATCATGTCTCATTACTCATCCCACACTCTCATACATTCATCAACAGAGATCAATTCATATCCACATCAACATTGCATTATAGGAGTCACAACATAGGGTTAAACAAAGGAATAATAGAAGAATCACATGTAGAATGGTGCCTAGTGACACATGTCTGCACCAATGCAATACCTCTATAGGACCACATTGGTCTTTGTTTAGACCACACATAGTGAGAACACCACTGAGAGCTCTTTGAAGTGTCCACGCTTGGTGAGGGTCAGCTCACGCCCAACAGAAGTGTCACAATGAACCCCTAAAGCTTTCACGCCCAACAAGGGTTATCCCACGCTCGACATGAGAGACACTAAGAGTAAACTTTGGTCTCTGCCTCGACGATGCTCGATGCACCCCAAATGGCGCTTGACAACATATTAGAAACTACACGCAACAAAAAATGCAAAATTACAAGTCAGAACTCAATTCACCAAAACTCACAATTTAATCAATAAAAGTGTTTTATAAAATGCAATTAACATTCCATATCCCTCAATTTATACACATAACCAATATTTTTACATAACTATCACAACAAGTTCTCTTAGGAGTAGTTGTTGGCATGATCAATTATTACTCAAAATAATCGATTAAACTTGGTTGATTTCCATATCTGCTAAAAACAAAATAATCGATTATCCATGTAAATAATTGATTATTTCTATCAATATATATAATATATGTCTATATATATATATATATATATATATATATATATATATATATCATTTCTCACACTTAGAATTGAGAGACTTAAATCTTTGTGATATCTTTTTCGAAAACACTCTCTAAGAAACATTTTTCTTTATAAGAAGAGGTTTTATAACCTTTGTGATAACCTCAAGAAAGATTTCAGGAATTGAATTGATCATCATATTCATGGAGTGATAGAATAAACTACTTTAGTTGATTCACCTACTCTAATTTGTTCTGTACATCAGGTGAATTCTTTCCTTAACTTCTCTATTGTGTTTTTCTTAAGTAGGTTTCTTAAGAAAGGAAGTCTTGTAGTGAGGTGCTACAAGTGCTTCTTGGGGTGCAAGAAGTGGTTTCTTTAATAGTGTAGAAGTGTATTGCATGTGGTATTGTGATTGTAAAACATCTGATATTAAAGATTAGTGAAAAATCTTAATTAAGTTGATTGAGGATTGGATGTAGGTCACAAGTGGATGTGGTTGAACTAAAATAAATTGGTTATGCATTTTTCTCACTCCCTACACTTGAATTTACATTCTTGTAATTATGTTTTTATGTTTGTTGTTATGTGTTGTGAGGCATAAACACTGCATATATAATTGAGTGAATATAAACTTGTATTGAATATGAACTTAGTATCCTAAATACAACTACAGATCAACATACTTTTTTTTTGGAAAGATTTAGAAAAGTTTTTCAAAACTAAGAAAGTTGTGTAAGAAATTTTTAAGCAACCAATTCACTTGCTCTCTTGGTTAGGCCATTTTTTTTAACACAGTCATCATCTGACGACTATTCTTCCAATAGCACTCCATTTTGCATGCTTTTTCAGAGTATGAGCTCTAGTCGACAAAGTCAACCAGATCAAATAAAGGTACTATATAAGCTAAATCCTCTAAAGTTTTATGATTCGATTCCATCGTGGAACAATCCACATTGAGTGATGCCACATCAACGATCACCTCGATTGAGATGTTGGCATTGAAAATTGCATGCACAAGTTCCACCAAGTTTGGAATTGTGGTGCCACAAAGATGCATAGTAGGCAAGGCCAAACTTGAGGCTTCGACTTCAGCCGCATTAGCCTAAGTAGGACCTTCAGATTTAGGCTCTCCCTCAAAAACAACTTGGGGGCCATCTAAGCTTGAGTATCATTAGTCCTCTACTTCGTAAAGGAAAGACTAATGGCAGCTTCCAATTGTTGGGCCTCTAGGGAAGTTAGAGCAGCCCTTGTGAGGGCTTATTACTTGGCTTCTTCTGTAGACTAAAGCTTCAGATGCTTCACTGTTTTCTCTTCCTCCATTGACTGGGGTTGCTTAAAGGCCAGGTATTAGGCATATCTTGCATATTATTGGAGCCGATAGGATGGTTTATTAAAGTGGTTGTGGCTAAGGATAAGGTTGAAAAGGTGGTTGAGATTAGGATTGTAGTTGGGATGAATGGGCAGACGAAGAAGCAGGTAGTTATGTAGATGGTGTAGGAGGTTGAGAAAGGATTTCGAGGATGAAAGTGGAGGATTTCCAATGAAGATGGTGGACAAGTGGCTTACATCTAAGTCAGATGATGTTTTTTAGACATGGATTTTGAGGGGTTTGGAGCTATTGACTTTGGAAGATGGTTTAGAGGGAGCAGGTTTGGACAAACGAGTTTTTTTGAACACTTAGTGCAAGCTTCTTGGTGGATGGCTCTTCTTCCACTAGTTCATCCTTGATGGTCAGGGGGTGGCTTTGCATAAAGGGGAAAAGATGGGTTATGCCCATTTTTCAAAGTGTGGTCATAGGGACTTCTCCAGCATCAAGATCGATTGAGAAGGATGAAGTATCAATCCTTACATGCTAGATGATCTAAGAAAAGAGCATCCCATAAGGTATTGGGGCTCTATTGCTTTTGTCCTGGTTGCGCTACGAGAGACATGCCTTCTAGTGGTTGTACACCAACTCTGACAAATTAATCTTGTTTCCCAACACATGATAGTAAAGGCGGAAGTGATCCACGTTAGATACGTGGTCTCTAAAGCCTGACCTTGGCAAGAAGATGTTGAACAATAGGTTATGGAACATCTTATTGAGTGGAGTCAAGTTGGCCTATTAGTGGAATTTTTTCAAGGCGTTCCTCTCTGATGGTCTTGGGCCATTAGAGTAGATGAGTGCATTTACTATTTCTTGGGTGATGGTTGCCTCCTAATCACCCTTGTATGTTTCGCCTTCCTTCTTGCAACCAGAGACTGTTACAATGTTTAGAGGGTTAATGTGGATGGTGGTTTGGTTGATACAGTCATTGATGGAGTTTGGCCCCTAGATAATGGAGGCCTAAAAAATAACTTAGGGAGTATGGTGCTAGTCGCGCTTTAGCTCGGCAATTGAGGTCCACCCAATTTGGTCAAGATAAGTTTTCACCGAGTAACCTTCATCTTGCATCTTTTTTACAACAATGACCTTTCCTAGCAAGAATGCATATTCTAAGTACTCAACCAGACAGAACAACTTTAGATACCATTGGTGATTTAAAGTTAACTTATGTAGAAGTTGAGTCCCTTTAAAGTAAGATTATTTTAATTATTTTCGTTTTAATCCTCTTAATAGTTTTTTCAATTTATAAAAATAATTTATGACTTTTTAAATATTTTTAATATTATTTTGGAATGTTGCATGTAAATGCTTCTGAAAATAATTTTAATATGCTTCACCATGACATTAAGAAAATTAAATCTCACAAAGTTTATCTTTTATTTTAACCTCATGCTTAGAGTAATATTGAAAAAAAATGACTTAAGTTATAAAAAAATAACTATTTTTCGGATTCTTTAGGTCGAAATAAATATTTAACACATTATTTTAAATTATCAACTAATAAAAAATTAAGAAAAATATGATTTCACATAAATCATTAAAGTTTGACTTGAAATATTTTTTATCGTTCTTAAATAATCTTTAAAATAATAAAATTATGTAAATAGTCTCTGAAATATTAAATACTTCTTATGATATATTTTATTAATATTAGAAACTAATTTTAAAGTTTTTTCAGTCCCGGAATAATTATGTAACATGATTTTTAATACTGAAATTACTTTTACGGTAAAAAAAATAATATAATATATATATATATATACTGAAAATTACTTATGTAACCTTTTTACTTAAAAATTTATTAATATAGTAGTGAGAGAAAGTCATCTTCTTCCATTTAATTACTCACAAGAATAGAATAATATGTAATTATTACACACTAAAAAAATTATTTGAACCTTTTATTATCTCTATTTAACAGTTTTATATTTTTATTTAAAAGATTAAAATTGTCTCAAATATATTAAAAGAAAAACTTGGATATATAAATACAGATAAACTAAACGACAGGGAAAAAGAATAGGCAGAGGCGAAGAAGGAAAACAGGAAGCAGAAACCCAAACAAGACGAAAGCCCAAGAATAAGTGGGCCAGACACGTTGTGGAAGATGTGTATAACGGATAAGGCATTGTAAAATGGGAAAGTGCCGTACTCAGGTCGTGTCACATAATTCAAAATCATTTCATTTCTTTTCACCTGTCTCACTTAATGCAGTTATTTAGCAACCCAACAAAATAAACAACACCTTTATAATAATAATAATAATAATAATAGCCACAAACAATAATAACAAGTCTCCCTCATCCTTCTCTTTTTTTTTTTTTTTTTTTTTTTTTTTTTTTTTTTTTTTTTTTCTTTGCCCTTAAAAAAAGAAAAAAGCACAAGAACGAAAAGAAATACTAAAAATGGGCACGCAGAGATCACGTGCAGATTCTTATCCTGAAATAAAAATCCGAAAGTGTAAGAAGCAACACCCACACGTTATTGGGCAGGTGTCAAGTTTGGGAGCCTTTCGTACACTTGTTCTTTGTTGAGCCCGTGTGGGTTCTAGCCTAGTCTAGCTACCCCCGTAATTACTTAACAACACCCACTCGCCACTGCCACTGCCACTGCCACGCGCTTGGCTACTCGGAAAGCGCTATCTCCAACTGGCGAGCGAGGTAGGAAGGAGCGCTGAGATGCGGGAGGTGGCCCTCCGTGTCCAGCCACTGCACGGTGCTCTTCCCGCCCAGGTGCTCCTTCATGTAGGTCGCCACGCTGGCGGGCACGGACATGTCACGTGCCGTCTGCATAATGCAACACGGCACGTTAACCAGACCTAGGATCCCCCGAAGGTCGCTGTGGAAGACGGTCCGCGACACGAACAGCGAGATGTCGGGCCGCATGTTGAAGAGCGTCCGAGAAAACTCCCGGACCGCGGCGGGAACATCGGCCCCGACGGCGAGCGGCGCGAAGCCGTTGACCCAGGCCTCGTAGTTGGCTTCCATTGCGGAAAAGACTTGCTCGATCTCCCCCTGCTCGAACCCCCCGTGGTAGTCCTTATCGTTGAGGAATCTGGGAAATAAGAGAAGAGATAGATAGATGTAAATTGTAATTAATTAAGCATAGAGATTAGAGAGGAATAGGAATAGGAATCTGAATCTGAATTAGTGAATTAGTGAATTAGTGAATTAGTGAATTAGTATTGTAGTGGTGGGACCTGGGGGAGGCGCCGATGAGGATGAGCTTGGAGAAGAGGTCGGGGCGGCGGATGGAGGCGAGCATGCCGATCATGGCGGAGATGGAGTGGCCGACGTAGGCGCAGCGGGGGACGCGGAGGGCGAGGAGGATGTTGAGGAGGTCGTCGACGTAGGCGTCGAGGGTGGTGTAGCGGCGGTAGTCGAAGTGGTCGGGGTTGACGCTGCCGGCGCATACGAGGTCGTAGAGAATGACGCTGTAGTGGCGGGTGAAGTAGGGGAGCACGCGCTGCCACGCCGATTGGTCCGTGCCGAAGCCGTGCGCCAGGACCAGGTACTTCTCCCCTGAGCCCTCCACGCGCACGTTCAGGGCCTCCAGAATCGAACTTCCCATCCTCTTATAATCTAATTACCTATTTCTTCTGCGATGTTGAAGATGATGATGATGATGATCAAGGCAACTTCAACTTCAACTTCAACTTCAACTTCCACTTCCACTTCAACTCCAACTTCTTCCTCTTTTATTTTGTATTTCTTTTTTGCCAACCCTTTGTCCCTTTCGCTGCTATTTATAACCGCCACCCCCATCTTTCACTTCTTTATCTTTCCTTTTTCTTTTTTACATCTTCCTTTTAACCTTTCAACTTCAGTTGCTACTGTACCGACCAAAATACAGGAATTCGGTACATTCTCTTCTCGGAACGAGTAAAATATTTTAAAAATTTTAATTTAGATTATATTTATTCAATAAAAAGTAGTATAATTTTAGAGATTATAATTATAAAATTACAATAATGGTATAAAAATATTTCAAAATAAAAAATAATTACTAAGAAAAGTTAATTCACATTATAAAAATAATAAATTTTAAGATGTAAAGATGAACATGGGCTAAAAATGTATTATAACCGAGTTATTTAAGTATATAATTATATTATTACAAAAGAAATTAGAATATATAAAATAGAAATAGAATGACTAAATAATTTTAAAAATAGAAGGATAAAATATCCAAAAAAAATATAGAAATAATTCAAAAATGTAAAAATATTATATAAACAAATCCTTAAAACTAAAAAATTTATAATAAAATTAGTAATTCCAACTGCATCAGTATGCTACAACTATCAATTTGAATTTGGTCTCTTGGTTCGACCAATCTGAAAACAAGATTAGGTTGAGTTTTAAAACATTGACTTAAATAAAATTTGATTATTTTATCCTAATCCACTAAGCTTAACAGGACAAATAGTTTCAAATTGAATGTTATCCTAGGTTTATGAGTTGATTTGTTAAACTAATAATTGATATAATGTAAATTAACATAAATAGTAAGTTGCTTCCATTTTACAAATTGGACAGTTCACGTATCAAATTAGAATTATTTGAAAAATTACTTGAAACTCTTGAGGAGTGAGGGATAGATGAAAAAAATATTTTATTCTCTCTCATTGGATAATGCCTCTTCCAATATAGCATGATCACATTTTTAAGAAAAAGTATAAAATTTATTATTTGTTGATAGTGTTACATATACTTTGCAACCTTTGTTTATTATATTGTTATTTTGACATTAAATTATGAACAATACAATATGATTTAAAAAATAATCAAATTGGATTTTCAATTTCAAGAAAAACTAATCACCTCTAATGTGACTATCCTCCCAATTGTGCAACCATCCTGCTAATCATGTTCTTCTCTTATACCAAGTATGATCATCGTAGTTCCTACCATAAGGAAAACAAAAGATAAGCTAGTGAAAAAAATTCAATATGCAACTTATAAAACATCTTTATATTAAATATTTCATCTTACGGCAAGGCAACATCATCATCATAGCAATTAAATGACTCATAATATATTCAGCACATTAAGACAATTTGATGGAGTCCCTCCTTCCATGGTTGTAAGTGAAGTGTTGAAGGGAGACACCTTGCCCATGATCTAGGCTCACCAAAGGTTAGACAAAGGGAGGTTTATGGTGGAAGAAGGAAGCTAGGCGAGAAGTAGTGATGATTGGCGGAAGTGTATGGTGTATGGTTGCTCAAGGTTGGCTCACTCCAAGTGAAGGTGGAGGCCACTCTAGGGTTTCACTCTCCAAGGGTGGAGAATGAAGGGGGCTAGCCGAACTAACCTAGGGACTAAGGATAGGATTTGAGGCAAAGAAATGCTCTCTCAAATTCATATAATCCAAAGTATTTACAAGGTGTGGTGCATTGGGTATTTATAGGAGGGGAGGCATCTAGGGTTGCATTTGGAGTAGGCAAATGCATTCCAAATGAAATGCAAATGAACCCTAGATGCAACTTGGTGGCCAAGGATGGAATCTTTGGGTTTAGATTGGCTATATCTAGGTGCATGATAAGACCATGCAACCTTTGCCCTCCACTTGGGCCTAAGCCTTTCTAACACCAAAAATAGACTCAATAACACCAAAAACATGCGTCACCTTCTAATTAACACCCTAGCCCAAAATTAAAACCCTAATCATCTAAAGCACCCCATAATACAAGGATAAAATGGGAAATACAAGAGAAAATAAATTCTAAGTCCTAAACACCCCAAAATACAAGGGTAAAATTGGAATAAGGCAATAAAATTCTATACTACTCAAATTGGGCCTAGGAGGTGGATCCATACATGGTATCTCTCCATTATCCTAGTCATGAACCATGTGATGGGTCTCACATTAAGTACCAAGGATGGTCCTCCATCATCCCCTCCCTCTTGAGAAGGATTTGACTTCAAATCTTTAAGCTCTTCCATTCCATTGATCCTTCAAAAGATGTGAAACCACAATTAGGGAAGTAAAAATACTAAAACTTAGCTATGCAATCCTTAAGTACACAATTTGTTGAATGAAAGTGTTAGGGAAAGGAGAGAGCCAAAGAGGCATCACCATTTTAAAAAAATTATTGACCCCATGTAATTCATTCACCAAATCATCTATTTTAGGGATTGGGTGCCTCTTATTCAATGATGGCTTTAAAAAAAAAGGTGTTCATCCTCCATTTCCATCTTTCTTTGGCACCAAAAGAATGAGGATGACACAAAGGTTAAGGTTCTCTTCAACCTAACCCTTCTTTTTCTTCAAAGGGAAAATTATTTTCTTTTCTTTTTCTTTTTGTTTTTGCCTTTTTCTCTTCTCAACTGCATCTCAACTGGTGTTATTTTCTTAACAGCATTGTTTTTGGAAGGAGGCAATGTAGGAGTAGGAAGCAATGGAGGTAAATTTTGCTTAACAATTGATCTATTACTTGTATTTCTAGAAGTACTAGAATACACAGTAGAGTATCTATGATTGTAACTTGTGTTTTTATGCCCATTATCTGGAACGTATTTTTCCTCATACAACTTAGCGAGTGCTACTGCTCGAATCACAAATCCAGGACATAGAGCCATTACATATCTCCGAATATCCTTGTTCAACCCACCAATGAAGCATTTTAAAAGTGCTTCAGGTGAAAGTCCTCCTGATCTGTTAGCTAACGCCATGAATTTCAGGTAATACCTTTTTCCAATGTTTTGAGTAAAACATTGGTGGCGACTCCACGAACCCTCCTTTTATGAAAACCACTAATCCATGGAGGGTCCCGCTTGGGATTAATATGGATTAGTGAGCCTTTTAATAAAATTGCTCGTTTGACGAGGTCTCAGTTTGAGAATAAGTCATTCTAGCAATCCACATTTTTAAAACGAATAACGAGTCCAACCATCCTTCGCGAATGCCGAAAGCCCGTTTCGGGCCGGTGGCGACAGTTGGTAACAAAATCCATAGAAATATCTTCCCATATGTGTTGAGGAATAGGAAGAGGCTGTAACAACCCGGTAGGCAAAGCTTGTTCCACCTTAGCTTGCTGAGACACACTACATTCTCTAATAAGTTTCCTTATATCCTGTTGCATCTTAGGCCAATGAAACTGAGCAGAAATCCTTGCCATTGTCTTAGTAACCCCAGCATGTCCCCCGATCTTAGAAGCATGAAATTCTAGCATTATTTGCTGTTGAAGCTCTCTATTATTAGGAATTTCCAATCTACCTTTCTAGAATATCAACCCATTTTTAACAGAATAAGAAACATCTTTACAGGTACCTTGCAAACACTGTGCATATAGTTCAACCAATTGTTGATCTATTTTAACTAATTCAGCCACCTGTTTTAACCATACACCCACAGGTTCTGACCATGCCATACACAAACTTCTGCTTAAGGAATCAGCTGATATGTTGTCTTTGCTCGATTTGTATTGGATTGTAAAATCATATCCTAAGAACTTAGGCAACCACTGCTGTTGTTCAGGAGTTTGTAAAGATTGATCCAGAAGTTCCTTTAAACTTTTTTGATCAGTTCTAATTATAAATTTGTGTCCCAACAGATAATGTCTAAACTTAGCCAGAGATTCAGTAATAGCATAAAATTCTCAAATATAAGCAGATTGTTTTTGCATTCTTAAGGATAATTTCTTAGAAAAATAAGCAATAGGATGCAAGCCTTGACTCAACACAACTCCTATCCCAGTTCTTGATGCATCCGTTTCCAAAATGAATATTTCCTTGAAATTAGGAAGTGCCAATACTGGTGCAGAAATCATAGCTTCCTTAAGTTTATCAAATGCCAAAGTGGCCTCCTCAGTCCATATAAAAGCATCCTTTTTTAGTAAATCAGTCAAAGGAGCAGCAAGCATAACATAATTCTTGACAAATCTTCTATAGTATCCTGTAAGCCCCAGGAATCCCCTTAATTGCTTAATGTTCTTAGGCTGAACCCAATTTTTAACTGCTGCCAATTTGGAATTATCCGTAGCAACTCCATCACCCGATAATGTATGACCCAAATACTCCACTTCCTTCACTCCAAAAGCACATTTAGATAATTTTGCATACAGCTGATGCTGTTTCAAGATTCTTAAAACTATCTCCAAATGATACAAATGATCCTTCCAATTACAACTATATACCAGAATATCATCAAAGAACACCAGCACAAATCTCCTCAACAGCCCTTTAAAAACCTCATTCATCAAACTCTGAAATGTAGCAGGGGCATTCGTTAATCCAAATGGCATCACTAGCCATTCATAACGTCCGTGATGTGTTCTAAAAGCAGTTTTAAATCTGTCTTCTGGATTTAACAAAATCTGATGGTAACCGGATCTTAAATCCAATTTAGAGAAGAAAGAAGCACCAAACAATTAATCTATTAACTCATCCACAATAGGTATAGGAAAAGTGTCCTTGATAGTAATTGCATTGAGAGCCCTATAATCCGTACAAACCCTCCATGAACCATCTTTCTTTTTGACTAAAATAATAGGTGATGAGAAAGGACTCTTACTAGGTTGAATGATTCCTTCTATTAACATATCCTCAACCAATCTTTCAATCTCCTCCTTTTGACTATGAGAATACCTATAAGGCTTAACTTTTACAGGCATAAATCCTTCAATCAAAGGAATAGAATGATCATGGGCTCTTGTAGGTGGTAATGAAGTAGGTGTATCAAAAACAGAACTATAAGTTCGCAGCAATAAAGCTAA